TGCCACGCAGTCCTGCAGACCTCTTGCTCCAGGCCCTCCAAGGAGCCACTGTCTTCTTCACCCCGGTGGCTGCTGCTTTCTTTCTGCCCCACCCCTCCTAGTATGTGAAGCGGAAGAGGAAAGACCTGAAGACAAGAACCCAGCTCAGGAGGACCTGAGAATGCAAGAGGTCTGGTCCTACGGCCTTCTAAGTCAGGTCCCTGGTGTGGTATGGCTTTGGGGCCCATCCCTGTTCTGATACCTGGACCTACCGTCACCCCTCCTTCTGTCTACAGCCTTCGACTGCCCATCGTGGCTCACTGTGCCCAGCTCGACTCTCTCTGTCCCCCATTGTGCAGGTGCCAGGCTGAACTCCCCAGCCTTGGAGGGAGGAAGGGAGCCTCCGTGGGCCGTCCAGGGTTAGGCTCCTTAGCATCCTTAGCAGGGGTAGCATCCTTCTGGATGCTGTATTCCTTCGTTCTTCCTGAAGTTCCTTCTGCTACAACTGGTGCTGAGTTAGGAGGTGGGCTTCCTGAACTCCCAGCCAACCTTCTTCTTCAGGTGAATCCACACCTTTGGGGAGATAAGATGGCCCAGCTCCAAAAATGAAAATAAAAGTCTCCACTTGTCTCCAGTCATACTCTCTGCTTGCCTTTTTCTCCTTCTGCCTCAAGTCACCACAGAAACCCACAGGGCATTAGAGCTTTCATCCAAAAATGAGTCAGGGCCCTTGAGAGCTGAGCTGGGGTGCAAGAATGCCCCCCTTTGTGCCAAACAATGGCTCTACTTGACGGCACACTTCATCTAGCCCCCTGGAGGCCAAGGAGCAAGATGAGCTTCCTGGGTTGCTCGACACCCACCCAAGGCCCACGTTTGGTGCTAAGAGGGGGCGAGGGTCCGGAGTGCCTAAGGAAAGCCTTCGGAAGCCCAGAGTGCGCAGCCTGAGGAGCTGTGCTCTGTCTCCAGTCACAGGACCGTCCACATTTTTAACCAAGGATTCAATGACAAGAGAGAGGTCTCCCCTCTATCAGGCAACAGGGACCGTCAGGGGAGGTGGGCAAAGGCCAACTCCAAACCTCCTGGCTCTTTCCTTGGCATCTCACCCGGGAACAAAAAGGCTTTTCCACGGGAGGAAGAGGTAAGGGAAGGTACTGCTGCGGCCAAGGAAGATGCTCGGGAGAGTGAGAGCAGCAAGCAGCTGGCTGACCCCTGGGGAAGCTGGCAGCCTCCCCCACTGCCCCTGCACTGCATATATTCTCTCCCCCCAAAATAGCATCTCTAGGGGGGGAGCGAGGGGGGTTCTCAGCTCATTGTTCACTCCTTCCCACAGTGCGTTCACAGCTCTCCCTGCTGTCTCTCGCGCCCTGGTTTCCCTGCCCAGCCCTTCTGCTCTGCCTGTACCCCCACCTTTTCATCCCAGGACCTCTTGCCAGGAAGAGAGCCTACTGACCTTGGCCCACCCTGCCCACTGTCTCCTGCGCCCCCACCCTCTACTCTACCCTCTTCCTCCGAGGAAGAAGTGGATTTAATGTACACAAGTCGAACATCAAAGCTGTCGGTGAGGGTATAAGCCACACAGTCTTTAGGTCAAGGAAAAAATGGCCGGCGGGGATGGCAGCCCAGTGGTAGAGTTCTTCCTACCACATACAAGGCCAACAGGAGTGGTCCCTCTGAGGATCTCATGAAGGCAAGGCCCAACATGTGGAGACCTTATTTAAATAAAGACGCTCTCCATCAGAACTGGGGGCCCCCAGGAGGGAAGGCTGCTCTGGGGCCCTGACTACACAGTTCTAGGGACTGGGACTTCACATTGAGCTCGGATTCATCTCCTGCCGTAGACTCTAACCATACGCTCTGCTGATATTGGCTGAGCTGTTTCCTATGTGGAATGTCCTCTGATGTCGCTCATGGACAAACGGGAGTCAGGCTCAGGACCTAGGGAAGGTTCAGTCTGACTGGGAAGACAGGCCACAGACTGGGGAACATGGACAGGGGCCACTTCCCAGCTGGGAGGATTTCCCAGTAGCAAGAGGGGTTTCAGAGACAGGGGCTCACGGTAAGGATGTGGAGTCGTGCTGGGGTGTGTGGGGTTGAGAGCATCGAGGGCTGGGATGGGTGTCATCTGCTCAGTGTGAGGGTGGATGAGCAACAGTGGGTACACTTCCTCTCCCCCAGGCCAGCTGTGAGGCTGACCTCCTGTCCCTGGCACCGTGGGAGAGTTGGAGGCAGGGAAGGAGCCCCCTCAAAGTCATCCCCCCAAGGGAACCACTTTCTCCCCTTGTTATTTCTGGCTCCATCTTCTTGGTCAAGCAGGGTGTCGGTGGCAATGCAAATGAGGGGTTGCTGGAGGTGCTGGTGACACCCATCCTGTCCCCCAGCTCCTCCCTGTCCTCCCCTGTGCCCACACCAACACAGCAGCCTGGACCGGCTATGAAAAGCGCCCAGTAGCTCTGCCCTTGGCCAAAGCTGCAGGTGGAGGCTGCATCCTCAGGGACATCTGCTTTTGCCTCAAGGACAGGGTAGGCTCGGGGTGGGTCTCCAATTCCTTCACTGCACCTACCCCTCCTGCCCTCAGCCCCACCGGGCCTCAGGCCACGAACACAGAGTTGTGTCCTGGCAACAACGGCATGGATGCTGGTGAGTGCCGTGGACCAGGACCTCAAAGCAGAGCTTCCCTCCCAGGCTGCTCCTGGGCAGGGCCAGCGACTTTATAACACTGGGCTCGCAACCCCCTGTGGATGGAATTAGATCTCACTCACGGGAACTTGTGGATGGGGTGGGGGGCTCTGTGGACCAGTGAGAATCTCCAAGTCACAGGAATGGATGCAGAGGAAGGACAAGAAGAGAACATTGTGGCTTTCACATCTCCCTGCTCTCTGTCCTTAGCTAGTCACCCCGTCCCACTCCTCCCATTGAGGCCCCCCCTCCCCTTTAATGCTTCTCTTCCACGATCTCAATTCGCTCTGTGGTGGCCAAAGTTGCTCTGTTTATATTCTTGCTGCTGAAGGAGAGACGGCCTGCTCCCCCCCCTTATAAAGATGTCACCGAGTGAAAACCCCACCCCCTGTCTTCCTCAGCCCTAATCAGCTGGGTGAGGTGTTTCTCATTAACATTTGCTCACTCCTGCACACACACCCCTCCTTTTATTATCAATCAGCTCCTTCTCAACAGAGGCCCCGGGTCTTACAAAGAGCTGTCACCTCCCTCAGCAGATCACCTGCCACAGCCTATACACCGACCTAGGACAGAGACAAGGGTCTGCACGACCTGGGACCTCGGGCTGGGGAAATCCTGGGGGGCAGGGCAGAACTGGAGAGAATGTTGGACAGAGACCTGCCCTGGCTGACTTGGTATCTGCTGAGTTCTCACCCTCACCCTACACGTGGTCGTGGTCTTTGTGTCTGTGCTGAGGAGGGCAAGTGGGCTCACAGGATCTCTTCTCGCCTCTCAGGGGTCTCCCCTCCACCTCACTCAAGTGAAAGTTGTTCCTGTCTTCCCCCTTGTTTCCAGGAGCCTAGAAATGGTAACCCATTGGTCTCTGAACCCTGCAATTCCCAGCCCCCCTTCCGCGGCCCTCTGGGCTCCAGAGAACAGTTCAGAGCAAATGTCCTGTGTGATCACAGCCCTGCTGGAGAGCGGGAGGGGTGAGGGCCGCAGGTTCCCCAGCTCGCTCTCCTGCCCTCAGCTCTCTCAGGAGTGTCAGATGGAAGTCTGCGGCTGTGGAGGGGACCTAGATGGACGCACACTGCCTCTCCCTCCTCCGCCTTCCCTTCCAGCCCCCAGCAACGTTCTGCCCTGTACCTGAGCCTTTCCCGGGTCCCTAGAAATCAGGGAGACAAGCTGCCAGAGTCTGCTCCCTGTGCCCCATGTTCTCTTCACCCTGATGACAGGGGAAAGTCCAGACAGGATACCTGGGTCCCCTCCCACCCTCGGTCACCCTCAAGGGCTACGGGCAGGTTACCCGGGCTGCCTGTGCCCGTGTGCCAGCTCACTCAGGCCCTCTTCTGCCTCTTCCCAAGGCCCAGGGTTTCCCTTGCCTTCTGTGTCCCCAGGACACCCCTTAGTCTGTGTCACACTAGTCGGTGCTTCCAGAGCCATGGGGGCCACTAAGCACTCATATACCAGATGTTCTAGAATCTTCTATCTCAGGGCTATGAGCCACATCTGCAAGGGGGTCTACCTTTCTTGGCACTCTGGAAGGTCTTGGCTGCAGACGGCAGTTGCTGATTTCAACACAGGAGTCGGGGAGGCTGGCCCTTGCTGTGACATGTGAGGGGACAGCTGCCCTGTTCTAGAGCTGAACTCAACCACGGACCAACAAAGGCCTCCACGTCCTGCAGTTTTCTTATTCTTTTGTTGCTGTTTTCAAGACAGCGTTTCTCTGTGTAGCCCTGGCTGTCCTGGAACTCACTCTGTAGACCAGGCTGGCCTCGAACTCAGAGATCCCCCTGCCTCTGCCTCCTGAGTGCTGGGATTAAAGGCATGGACTGCCATGCCCTGTGTCGGTATTTTCTTTCCAGTACCAGAGGTTCAAACCAGGGCCTTTGTGTATGCTGGACAAGAGTCCTCCCACTAAGCCACACATAGTCCTCCCCAAGTCCCTTTTTCTGCTTTTAAGTGACCTTTCAGCTAAAAAAAAAAAAAAAAGTCTTGTGGAAATGAAAGATTAAAATTAGAATCAATGAATGAATAACTCAGGTGTATTTTTTTCTTTTTTCTCCAGAGAGCACAGCCAAGGCTGAGGCAAAAGTCATGAGTTCATGACCCTGCTCTGACCTCCTAAGTTTGGGGTGTTTGAGGTAGCAGTTGAGCCTGGCCTCTTCCTAGTGCTTCAGACCTGTTCTAAATGAAGACAGAAGCCATGTGTGACCAGCTGTCAGTATGATCAATAGGATCATAGAATGTGGGCATCCACACTTTCTAGTGCCGGCCCCGCAGTGGCTATGGTCCCGGAGCCAGTTTCCAAGACCTTGCAAGTGAGGGTCAAACCCCCCCCCCCCCCCCGAAGCACGGGCTGAGCGCAGATGGAACAGGTAAGTTTTATTTGGACTTTGAACTTGTTCAGAGAACACAAGGTCCTCTCTCCCCTCCACAGGCCCCTTTCCCCATGTCCCCTCCCTGGGGAACACTCAGGGTACAATGATGTGTCTCTGGAGTCCTTGCCCCTTCCCTGCTGACACACCCCTCACCCCCTGCACAGAGGAAGGAGGGGTGTGGGGAGAGGGCCTGGAAGATTTGGATCAGAATGGTACACGCGGTGGACAGTGGTTCTCACTGCCACCGGCTGGCCAAGGCCCCAGGGAGGCTCAACGTGAGGGGTGGATTCATAGTGGGCAGCAGGCTCCCTCAGGAGGCTCCCACCTCAGCCTGGGGCCCCAGCCTCCCGCTCCCCTGTCTTTCTGAGGGGACGGCTCTGAGGTAGATTTCACAGAGGGAATATAGGGGTGGGTGGGTGGGTATGGGAAGGGGATTAGCTCTTTTGAAGTTGATCTCCACAGCACCCAGGGCCCATTCTCAGGTTCTGGCCTGGGAGGGAGGGGCTGATCACACCCACCCAGCAAACACAGGCTGAGTCACACCTGGGCTCCGGGGCACCTAGGGTGTCAGGAGCTGCAGTGGGGGAGCATGGAGGCATCGGCCTTGATGATCTGCACCTTAGTGCCAGGGACTCTGGAAGGGCCCAGGCCTGCGAGGGTGCCAGACAATCACCCGGACTGAGGGTGATGGCCCAGGAGTCCCAGCCTCAAGGCAGCCCCTTTGGACTGGATCATCGAAGGCCTGCAGGGTCCTCCCACCCCTCCGCCACCTTCCCTGTTCCCCAGGGTGGGCAGAGGGGGAGAACAGAGCTGGCCTGCAGTGACTAGTGAGAAAAAAAAAGATGCCTCCTTCCCCACTACCACGAGCCCCAGGCTGGTTGAGCATGAGACAGAGGGCTGGCATCAGTGTGCAGGGCAGGCTCTGAGACCCTCTCGAGAGGTCTTCCCTGGAAGAACACTGCCCGGGAAAGACGGATACTGGGAAGGGGTTCCCAGGGCTCTTGACCCCTCCTCCTCTCCCTTCCACAAGCACTAGACTTCTTCTTGGATCCAGCTTTGTTGAAAAACAGAAAGGCAGAGAGAGAGAGAGAGGGGTGGAGGGTTTGTCCTCCCCATCCCAGACCAGACCCCCACTCCCCAGAGGAAACCAGGAAGATAGAGAGAGCCTCGGTCAACCTCCGGGAAAGAGCCAGAGCTGGGTGGTGCCTGGACCAGGGAAGACGGCACGCACACATCGACTCGGTAGCTAGTGGAGGTATCTGGGGACCGCAAGGGGCAGGGGCCCCCCACGAGATTCATGCAGCATTCAAAGTGAGTGTTTGGGGGGTGATGAGAGAGCAGAGAAACAGCCAGTTGCGGGAGAGGCGCCCTAGATCTTGCTGTTCTCCAGGTGGGAGTCGATGTGTTTGATGAGGGCATCGTCTGGGTACCCAACAGGGAAGCCCAGCTGGCAGAGGGGGCAGCTGCGGATGTCAGAGCCCACCGTCTCCATCAGTAGCTGCAGGGAGACAGTGACGCCACTTAGAGTCGGCCTCACACCCCAGCCTGCTCTTTCCCGGGACCCGCAACAGGGAGGGCTACAGCATTCAGAAGGGCCTGGCTATCCTTGCTCCAGCACCACCCTCGACGTACACTACAGCCACCAGCCAACACCCAGTGCTTTGCCCAGGGCACAGGTCTTAGAAAGCGTGAATGAGAGTCACTGTCCAGTGAGCTGGGGCACACCAGGGAAGAGGGAAACCAAGACCTCGACCTGCCTCCAGAGTCGCCGGGGCACAGCTGACTTAAAGCGCTGGACAACTGCAAACAAGGTACAGCCCCCAAGTAATTTCCTGTCTGGCTCTGGAATATATTCGGGTCCTTCCAGGTGGCAAGGGGTAGCTATGGCACTCAGGAAACTCATTATTTCAGTGAAATGATGGAGCTCTGAAACGGGTTATTATGCAGGACAGGCAGAAAAGAGCCCAGGATCTGAGGCTTGAAGTGAGGAACTTGATGGGCAGGCCTGTCCCGTGTGGGTCCATGTTCTGCCCCTTTTAGTATCCCCGTGCTGTGGCCCCAACATAATAGTATGCTTGAGACACCCATCACAATCCAAGAACTGATTTAGGATCATTGCCTCCTAAAAACTCACTAAGGTAATAGCATCATGGTCCTCATTCTGCTGATGAGAAAACTGACAGAATTTGCAAGAGGTCCTTCAGATACTACGCAGTGGAGTCGGAATCAAAGCTAGGGCTGTCACTTTGTGGACCATACTTTTAATAGTGCAGGTGGCGGTGGGGGCTTGTTCCTACCAACTGGAAACCGAGGGAGAGGGAAAGGGAGGTCTCTATTAAGCTGGGGGGTGTTTGCGGGTCACCCCTGCCTACCACGTATGAAGATAAGCAACAGGGTGGGACTCCAGAGGGAGAGCAGGTTCTCTCCTGGGCACCTCAAGGTAGCCCGGCTAAGGGAAGCAGGACACTACTCACATTGATGGATGGCCAGGACTGTGCGTGCTCAGCGTGGGCGTAGGCGGTGGCCGCAGGTGACTCCGGGATGGGGAAGCCCGCACAGAATGAGGCGCAGCGGATGGTGCCCGCTTCGGGACTGGGCGGGCTGGCGGGCATGGCCCACTCCTCCTCCTCCGACGGCTGCTTCTCAAAGCGCAGGCGGATGCCCTCGAAGGCGCGGCGCGGGCTGAGCGGCCTGCCGGGGCCGTAGAGCTCACCGCCGTAGGCGCGGGGCTTGGGGAGCGTGGCGGCCTCGGCCTGCAGCCAGGCGGGGGAGGCACTGGCATAGGCCGCGCCCTCCGCCAGCTCCGAGTAGCTGCGGCGGCCCTGGAAGCCGGCCTTGGCGTGGTGGCTGGGCGGCTTGGCGTAGGCGCGCTCGGCCAGCGTCCTCTCG